CTCAACCCAAAAAGTGACTTTACATCTTCAATTTTGTTTTTGAAAGACAGTAAATTATGTCATCTGCATAAAGTCTCCTGCCCAACATGACTCAACAGTAGGTCACATACCATTTCTGTTGTTGTTGTTATTTGGGAATTACACTGCATATTTTATATGTCAAGTGCCTTCCAATTATTTTTATTAGTCTACACACCACCAAACTAGCATCCTTAAGTATCTTGTTTCTATTTTATAGAAGAGACAAAGAGGTCAAGTGATTTGCCTAAGGTCATATAGCAAGTTTCTTAAGATCACAGGTAAAAGAAAGGAGTTGTGAGATCTGGGAAAGGCTGCTACATTAACTGGGATCCTAATTCTTCTCTAGCCCCCCACCCTACCCCCAAGGCAAGTTGGGTAGTATGTGCATAAATCTTATTTTTAATTCTAATCTTCCCCTGTATGATGGACCAGGTATGAAGAATAAGATATGCTTCCTTTTGCCACTCCTAAAAAGGAAACTTTCAATAATTTCTCTCATCTCTGCTAAAGGAATGACCTGGGTGGAATCTAGATCCTATGACTCTCTTATAACAATAAACCCTGAGTTATAGATAAGAGAAACCAGGACGGAAAATTGAGCCCCAAACATGATATAACTTTATTCTAGAACTCTCAAGTACCTCTTTACACAATTCCTTTCTTCTAAACCTGAGCAAGTATGACCAAGACTAAGGAGTGACTCTGGTATTTATGACCAGAGACTATGCAGACAAATTGCCCCCCAGAATATGCCCACTTCCTATGTCCAGTGGGATTCTCACAGTCACGAATGCACAGGTACACAAACATATTCAGGGTCTACTAGAGCCCACTGGATAACAAGGCTGTGAGTTTACAAGCTCCTCATTTAAAATGCCTCTAGAATGGGTGTTCAGAGATAGCTACAGAAGAAGGTTAAGAAATGCAGGAAGAGGAAGACGGGACCTTTCCTGAACTAAATTGCTTTTCCCTAACTTCAGAGTACCTGAGAATCTTAGTTTCTTGGCAAACTTGCTTGACACGTTGCTCATGGCAGGCATGGCCATACAGGTGTGATCTGGGTTTCAGGCCAAGGACTAAGCACCTCCTTCCTCCAGAAACTACTCCAGAGAGAGAGAAAAATATTGGCAGCAACTTCGTACACTAGATCTAAGAAATGGTGAAACCCTTTCCCCTGCATGCACCTGCTCTGTGCCAATACAGATGTTTTATGGGGATTAGAAAGACTTGGAGGGTGGATGGCAGGGGAGGAAGGATTCTTTGTAGATGGTAGCAAGGAGGTAGAAAACAACAGAGGCAACTTTCCCATTCTGGACTAAGCACACACTATAGACATGTATTTTCCCACACTGTAGAATAATCCCTTTATCCAGCCAGTCTAGAATCATCAGTCCCTGATATTGATTTTGGACTTTGGATGGAAACTTTGAATGGTGTGGATTTTTGGAAAATGGGAGGGAGGATGCAGGGGGGAAGCCCATGAAAAGGAAGGTGAGGTGTGTGTGTGTGTGTGTGTGGGGGGGGTGGTTTAACAAAGATTAGGAAACTAAGACTTCAGACACAGAAGGCAGACCCTAATACTGCCAGATAACAAGCCGAGACAGCTTCCCCAACAGAGTCTTGGAAGAGGATGGTCATCATAGGTTCTGGTCCTGGCCCTAAGACCCTGGGCAAGTACACAACCTCTAAAGTCCATCCTAGCTCTGACCAGTCCTAGCTTCCTTCCTTCCTGCTCTGATAAGTCATTTCATTCATGCACATACTTATTGAGCACTATTTGTTCTGGGCTGGGGTAGGATGGCAAATCTCTTCTACGAAGGGCAAAGTATTTTAAAGTGTAAATATTTTAGCCTTTGGGGGCCACACAGTCTATGTCACAGCTACTCAACTCTGCCATTATAGCACAAAAGCAGCCATAGGCAACATATACACAAATGAACACTGCTATGTTCCAATAAAACTTTACTTATGGATACTGAAATGTGAGTTTCATACAATTTTTATGTGAAATATTATTCTTTTGACTTTTTCCCCTAACTATCCTATATAATAAAGAGGTAATATGCAAATTAGCCCTCACACCCTCACAAGATGGCTGCCTATGACCAGGTCGGCAGGGGAGTTAAGTGAGGGACGACCAAACTACTGAACAGCAGGCTGCGTGGGGCGACCAGGCCGGCATGGGGGGGGGGCAGTTAGGGGCGATCAGGCTGGCATGCAGAGGCAGTAGGGGCAATCAGGCAGGCAGGCAGGTGAGCAATTAGGCTGACGGTTTAGGCCCACTCCCCAGGGTTGGGCCTAAACTGGCAGTCGGACATCCTCCAAGGGGTTCCAGGTTGAAGAGGGTGCAGGCTGGGCTGAGGGGACCTCCCCCCTCTATGCACGAATTTTGTGCATCGGGCCTCTAGTTTAAAGTTATAAAAACCATTCTTAGCTCACAGGCCATAGAAAAACGGACAGGAAGTAGGATTTGGCCCATGGACCAGTTTGCCAACTCCTGCTCTAGAGATACAGTGGTGAACAAGAGAGGGCCTCCACATTCTATGGCTCTGTGACTACCATTCTAGAGGTCTCCTCTGGCTTTGGAATGGCCCTGTGAATGTAGGCCGTGCTTCATTTTATTGCACATTGCTGTAGGCTGGCCTTCTGTTCCTTTGCAACCTCATATAACCATCATGTCCTAACCATTTGTGGCCCCCTTGGTTGTGCCAGGGGCTCCTCATAGACAATGAGGTCTCAGGTTTATAGGAAAGGTTTGGGTTAAGAGTCAGAATGAGGTGAATGAGAGGGATCAGCAGAAGAAATCTGTGTGTGGTGAGGAAAGCTATAACAAAAGAATCAGTAATTGTTCCTCCCAACAATTCAGAAAAGGCAAAAAGAAAAGATTAAATAAGATTTCACCATTATTTGTATGTGTTGGGTAAGTGGGTGGTGAAAGTTGATAGAAAGGAAATGAATAACACTGAACTATGGAGACTCTTAAAAGTCATACTGTATCACACCAGCCTTCCTCCAAGACCCCTTCCAGAATCTAGCTGAGATCCCTCTCCAGAGAACGCTGCCCAAAGAAAACTGTCATATACACGTATCTAATGAACTCTGATAGGGGCACCATTTCTGGTAAGCTCAACCATAATTGTCTGAGACCCCTATTGGTGTTTGCAGATACTGAGGCAGGTTCTGTAGCATCACCCAGAGGCCTATGATACACACCCAAATATGTCCTTTCTAAAAAGGATACCAGGTCTCGAGGACCAAATGAAGGGAACCTATAGTGTTTTTAGAGCACTGCTGAAGGCAACAAGGACCATACAAACCCTAAAGGGCTCACTGCTGCATTTGTAGTCCATTAAGACTCTTTTGTTTTATAATCTTTATTTTTTATTTTTTTATATATTTTATTGATTTTTTACGGAGAGGAAGGGAGAGAGATAGAGAGTTAGAAACATCGATAAGAGAGAAACATCGATCAGCTGCCTCCTGCACATCTCCTACTGGGGATGTGCCCACGACCCAGGTACATGCCCTTGACCGGATTCGAACCTGGGACCTTTCAGTCTGCAGGCCGATGCTCTATCCACTGAGCCAAACCGGTTTTGGCATATAATCTTTAACCAGAAAGTCCTTAGAATCATGAAAGTATAGACTGAGGGAACTAGACCTGACCTTAAAGGTTATCCACAGAATGGTTAAGTAGCTTGTCCAAAATCACAAAGTTTGTAGTGTCAATGACCAAGTCCTGCTTCACTAAATTACAATACCTTAACTCTGTACTCATTCTGAGAAAAAAACCAGAAAGACAAGAAACAAATAATAAAGAGCTAACAGCCTAGTCAGTGTGGCTCAGCAGATGAGCATCAACTTATTAACCAGGAGGTCACAGTTCAAATCCAAGTCAGGGCACATGTCTGGGTTGTGGACTTGATCTGCATTAGGGGCATGCAGGAGGCTGCCGATCAATGATTCTCTCTCATCATTGATGTTTCCAACTCTCTCCTTCTCCCTTCCTCTCTGAAAGCAATCTATAATAAAAACATAATATGCTAATTAGACTAGACGTCCTTCCGGACGAAGCCAGGGCTGCGAGGGAAGCCTGGGTCCAGGTGCCTGCTGGCAGCCAGAGGGAAGCCAGGGTCCCGGTTGCTGGAGGGAAGCTGGTGCCGGCAGCCATAGGAAGGAAGGCCTACTCTTGCATGAATTTCGTGCATCGAGCCTCTAGTACAGCAGTAAACAACCTGTGGGTCGAGACCCCTTTGGGAGTCTAACGACCCTTTCACAGGGGTAGCCTAAATACATCCTGCATATCAGATATTTACATTACGATTCATAACAGTAGCAAAATTACAGTTATGAAGTAGCAACGAAAATAATTTTATGGTTGGGGGTCACCACAACATGAGGAACTGTATTAAAGGGTCGTGGCATTAGGAAGGTTGAGAACCACTGCTCTAGTAAAATATATTTTTTTAAGAAAAGTTAACAATCAGTAATGCTTATTGCATTCTCTCAGACAATCTTCACAACCACCTTATGAAGTACATACTATTATTTTGCCATTCTGCAGCTGAGGAAACTGAGGTTTTACATAAGTGAAGAGACTTGCTCAGGTCACAGAGCCAGCGAGTAGTAGGGAATGGGCTATGAACATGGGCACCTGGTTCTGAGAACCTGCACCCTTACCTGCACATCATAATCTGAATCCCACACCTCTGTCTTGCCTGATAACTACAGCAGGGAAGAGGGGTGATAATGTCATCACCAGTAGATTCCTACACAACTGTCCTCCATCTGGTTCATTAGGCCCCTTGGTACCAAACCAGCAGTACTGGCTCCCTGCTATACCACAGCACAAAAGCCCCCCACCCTGCTCTCCCTGTAACTGCTTAACAGACAGAGAATTCCCTATCCCAGCTTTTAGGAGAAACAGGGTATTGTGTCTTTTCCTTCCCACAGACCAATGGCAGAAGGCCAGGACTCACCTGAGGCAAGTCCGTCTCCAAGGAGGGTGCTAAGGATCACCAGCGGAAGAAACACTCCATGTCCCACAGAGGCCACGGCAGACGCTGAGGTGCTCTTTGGTGCTATCCTGCCATGGCACATCTTTTATCCGTCCAAGTTATTTTAAAAAGAAAAAAATTAAAAGCCAGAAGAATTCTAAAGTCAGCCAGGTGTAGATTCACCTATAGAAAACAAACAAAAAACAGACATAAGTGAAGTGAAAACTTTACCCATACGTTTACAAGTAGGCACTTTACTCTAAAGAAGCCATAATCATATACAAAGTTGAAAGATTTCTAGCAACTGAATTCCTGCTTTCAGAAGAGACAAGCACATAAGTAGCTTTTCAACTCCTTCCTGGAGAAATATCAGGGCCTGTAGCAAGCTGCCATCAGCGTCAGCATCTAGGAGCCAGATCCTTACGATAGGACAAGGAGACAAGCATGGGCTCACCTGGAGATCTCTGGGTCACAGAAGGGTTTCAGAGACTGCCCTGGCTCTGCTTGGCTGCCTGCCTCGGAGGTTCCAGCACAGAGGCGGAGAGAGGCAGCAGTTGACGCAGAGCTGCTATACCAGAGTGTGGCTTTGCCTTTGCCACCTGCCCTCAGAGTAAATTCAACTTAACCGAAAGAAAAAGAGAGAGAGAACACGTGTGTTAAAGGGAGAACTACACCGCCTAGAGAAGGAATGCAGCAGTGGCAGCCAAGGGCCCCTAGCTTGGCCTGCTCAACTGCCTGAGGCTGGATGAGCCCTAGGATCTGACTCTGACTTAACAGCTCAGGCAACACACCTGTGACCCCAGAGGCCATACTTGTTGGCTATACCTGATAATGAGTGGGGGAGGATGGCTACAATTGTTAATTAGCCCCACCATCCATTCTAGTTCAAAGACTTCATAAGAGTAGGAATCAGTATCTTAAAAAAAAAAAAAAAATCAGGGTTCAAGACTTCTTTTTTTTTTTTTTTTTAATCCTCATTGGAGGATATTTTTCCCATTGATTTTTAGAAAAAGTGGGAAGGGGTAGGGGGAGAGAGGAGAGAGAGACAGAGAGAAACATCAACGGAGAGAGCCACATCAATTGGTTGCCTACCGAACATGCCCCAACGAGGGGGGGAACCTGAAACCCAGGTATGTGCCCTTAACCGGAATCAAACCTGCAATCCTTCAGTTCCCAGGCTGACAGTCTAACCACTGAGCCATGACAGCCAGGGCAGGGGTCAAGACTTTTAAGAAAGCTTTTCTACATGCCTTCAGGGAAGCAGTTGGGTTGATGATACATTATGATATGGATCTTATATTTTACTTAACTCATTTGATTTTATTTATCCTAGTTTATAACAGGTATTTCAAAAATAAGATTACACTTCTTTTTAAATTTTAATTCCATACACACCTCCGTCTCCATTAAAAAGACCTTATGTAAATAGACAGGGGAGCCTGCCATCTACAATCCTAATAAAGGATGCCCCTGAGACTGTCAGGGATATTGTCAGACCTGACTTCAATCCATGTCTTGTAGCCTTGACTCAGTCCTATGCTCCCCTTATAAAAAGCTACTGCAGCCCTAGCCGGGTAGCTCACTTTTTTGGAGTATCATCCTGTACATCAAAAGGTTGGGGTTCAATTCCTGGTGAAGCACATACCTAGGTTGCAGTTGGGACACATAAGGGAGACAACCAATCAATGTTTCTCACCTCTATGTTTCCCTCTCGCTCGCTCTTGCTCTCCCCCTTCCTCTCTAAACATATTCTTGGGTAAGGATTTTTTAAAAAAGAGTGTTACTGCAAATAGCAAACAGCAATGAGCTGTCTCAGTCCAAAGAAAAAGCATCTGTCACAGTCCTCAATGAGTAAGACCCAGGGGTCCAAGAACAGAGTTAAACACTGGGTCCTCACCCACTACCCACAAATATTTGTGACTGTAGTCATCTGTCCCCAGTTTTTACCCAGACTCCAACTTGAGCCTTTACAGTTGTAGAACAGGATGGTTCATGAGAGTTCTAGGGGTGGAGTCTGTGAGTGACCCGAAACAGTACACAAAACTGTGGGTATGTAAATGTGTGGAGTATGTATACATTTATGTGGCTAAGAACCATAGAGTCAGAATGCCAGAATTCAAATATTGCTTCTATTATGGCCAAATTACTCTCTCAAGCCTTGGTGTTCTCTTCTGTAAAATAGAGACAGTAACCATACTGTCTTCATAGGGTTGATATAAGGATTAGGATTAGACAAAGTATTTGACACAGTGCCTAAACTTTTCAAGTCCTCAGTAAACACTGCCAGCTGTTGATACCATAATAATAAGATCTGAGCCGTGGGACCTTGGAGGTTATCAGGCTTCACTTCCTCATTTGACAGATACCAAACCAAGATCCGAAGAGGTTAAAGGACATGCCCAGGGCCACCAGCCAGTTAGCAATGGGCCCTCTGGTGCTGTTTTACATACAGCCACAGCAGGTGACCCTACCAGGCAGTCACCTTTCCCTTAAAGGAACAACCAGTGGATCATCAGGAATGACACCTGAGAATGACATCACAGCATGCACACAACAAATAATTCTGCAGTGAATGGACGAGGCTGGATCAGAGTGATGCTTAGATGATCTGTGCAAGAGAGGAGGTACTGCTAGGTTCACTGCAAAAGGAGGTGTCCAATGAAAAAGAAGGGGGAAAAAGGAGATACATACCAAATACAAGCGGATCAAAGCAATGGGAGCACAGCACTCCTGGCAGAGGCTAGAGGCAGAGGAGAGGATAAGGCGTTTAAACTGTATCCTGAAACCATGTGGAGCTTATGAGGATTAGAAACAGGGAAGTTATAACACCAGATTCATTTAGAAAGCTCACTCTGGCAGGGATTTTAGAGGACTGGGGAGGAGATGCTAAGTGCTATAAATTTAGTATTTTATGATTAATGTAAAACTCCTTGGACAATCTGTGAAAATACACATAATTCTACTTCTACTTCTAGAATCTTTCCTCAGAAATCACATGTGTGCAATGACATATATGCAGGATATTCACTGCATTATTTGTACTGGCAAAAGACCGAAGGGAAACTAGTTAAATAAGTTGCCATACAATAGAATACTATGCAGTAGTTTAAAAAGAACTGGGAAGTTCAGTCTGTAGTAGTATGGAATGACTTCCAAAATTAGTATGTGAAGAAAATCATTTATGTGTATGAGTGTACTTTTAAAGCCCACACACACACACACACACACACACACACACACCCCTATATGCACTGAAAATCTCTCTGGTATAATGCACAAGATAATGCACATCTCCTTAAGTGTTGTATCTTGTGCATGCATTACCTATTCAAACAGATAAAATATAAATAAAATTAATGTAGCAAGGCTGTCCTGTAGACCACCTGTTTCCTTCCTCAACAAATTGACATTCAAATAAACCTGATTGCTCCCTCCGCCAGGAATACAGTCACTGTCAGGGCTCAGCAAAGACCATCTTCCTACTCCCTTCAGTAGAACTAACCCCCTTCTTACTCCCAAAGCGCCACTCTGATTGGACTCATCCATTCACTACAGAAATATGTGTTGTGTGTATGTGCTGTGACACAAGCAGGTGTTATTCTTGATGATCCACTGGTTGTTGCCTTAAGGAAACGGTGACTACCTGGTAGGGTTACTTGCTGTGGCTGCAAGTGGAGAAGCCAGTATAACTTGGGGGAAAGATGTACACTTATGAACTCCTGTTTTATTTTGTTCTGTTTTAAAGAAACAGCTGGCTCCTTTCTTACTGCCAAGGGACCAATTCCACCACGAAGACTAAGACCTGATCAAGTGCACAACAGATGGGATGATGAAAATGGGGCTTTGCAAAAAAGAGAGAGAGAGAGAAGAGATGAATGGAGGGCAGTCAATGGAGTATTTTTACATGCAAGTCTGAGCCAAGGGTCAGTGCTTCAGAAATAATACAGAGAAAAACGAATCCCCACAACAGGAGAATCCAGCTACTGTGGAGAAAGGGTCACAACATACATCTAATAATTTAAAGAAAGAATCTGTTTTGAACACAGGAAGGAAAGGAGGGAGGAAGGAGAGGCCAGGAGGGAGGCAGGCAGGCAGGCAGCAGGCAGTCCTGTCCTTGAATTGTGGCTTTACACCAAATCAAAAGAAAAACACTTCAGAACAAATTAAGGCTAAGTATTCATTATCCCTAGAAAAACACATAGGCAAAAACTTAAGAAAAATAAGAGAATACATTTTACTTCAGTATTCCTTTGGCATGTTAGTGACCACTTCCCCTAATTAAAAAAAAAAGTATAATTAAGTAGAAACAGAAAAAAGAATAGTGGTTATCAGGAGGGTGGAATAGGAAGTTATATTGTTTAAAGGGTACAGAATTTCAGTTTTGCAAGATGAAAAGAGTTATGAAAATGGATGGTGGTGATAGTCGCACAACATTATTACTGTACTTATACCACTGAACTAGACACTTAAAAATGACTGACGGTCAATTTTACTTTATATATATTTTACCAGTTTAAAAAAAAAGGGAAAAAATTAGGATTAATGAGGGACCTGGAACTCAGCTTCATTTTCAAAGTCTGTACTCACCCACCCTAACAAGGCATATAATATCTAAACTTAAGAGGTGAGAAGAGAGAGGAGGGTCTGGGGCTACAGTTAGTCCCACCTCTATCTAGATGGCTGGTCATATCTCTGGCTTCCATTTCCACATCTCAAAAAGGGTCTAAGTTCTCTCTCAGCCACAGAATTCTACATGGCACCCAAAATTCTCTTTATAGAAGCCATCTCTTCCTCCAACAGCCAGTTTTTCCCTCCAAAACAAAGGGTGAGGAGTCATGGGAAATCTGCATTCACCCTTATTTTCTTTCTTGGAACTAGAGCTGCTGTCCCAATAGAATGTGGCAAAGGGAGACCCCATGAGCTAGACTGTCAGCCCCTCAAGGGCAGGGTCTGGCCTTTCCCAACTCTATGAACCCAGGACATCAAAACCTAGGTGACTGTGCTCTGCTGAATGTGATGTCATTGACACTCATTTCCTGTCCACAATGACCCTCCAAGAGGAAGAACACTGCCCTTAAGCCACAGCCCTGATCTTGGGGAAGCAACTTACCTAATTTCTGCCTATGTTTTTGAAAGGGCGAGGGCTACGCCCTCCATCTTGCCCCAGGGTAAGGGCTAGGCCCTCCATCTTGCCCCAGGGTAAGTGCTCCATCTTACCTTGGC